TGTGTGTGTGTGTGTGTGTGTATGTTAACGCCTTGGATAGCAAAAGGATTTTCTTTAGTTCTTTAGTAATGAAACCATGAAGGTTATGATTTTTGCTCTGCTCAGGTGTTGAAGTAAAAGGGTGGTATCTAGCTTTCTGAACAGAATTCTAATATTCTTTCCAAATTTAGTGATAATCCCTTTTCAGAAAACATACCTGAAAATTTGTAGGACACAGACTCTAAAACTAGGCCTTAGGCCTTACCTGTTTAAAGGTAAAGAAAGACAAAATTAAGTATTCTGGGGCTTTCTTAAACAGCCTTGTTATATTTGCTCTGTAGCTGTAAACTTTGGGTTTATTAATCATAAAAATTATAATTTAGCCATGCATGGCAACAAATCATCTATTGATTCAATAAGGGCATCTTGCATTTCTTGGAATACTGTAATTAGATAACCAATTTGTAATTAAGTAAAAATGAAAGCTGACCTTTCTCCCTGAGATGATATAACACTAACCATATGAAGAAAAAAAGATTTATGATTCAAATGAGCCTAAATAGAATTTAAGGGAATGGAACTCTTTCCTCTTGGGAACTATCATCTTTCTCCTTGTCAGTAGCACAGATGTAACAAAATATCGAATGTACTGGAACACAGGAATTTCAATTATGCATTCACATGACATTCCAATGTGACATGCTGCTCTGTAGAGTAGATATTTGATGCAATCCATCAACTATTAAAATTCTGTCAGCGTAATGGTAAGATTTCAGAGTACAGTGCAGAACCTTGTGCTGAGAAACAGAAACAAATAACCGATTGCTTTGACAAAGTCAGCATTTTCACTTCCTCACAGCAAAAAGGGAATTCCTAATTTAGCCTAACAGTGCTCTCTCCTCAGAGTCTGTTCAGGTGATCAACGACAAAGTGCAAACAGAAATGCTGTTGCTTCCCTAAGTGGGGCTGGACAACTTTCCAGGAGATCCAAAATGGTCCCAGGGTCCAACAGAGATCTTTTTTCACTCAAATACCAGGATGATGGTTATAACCCATGTGAGACTTTTATCCCTTTTCCCAGAGTTTTTTTCTAAATCTACAAAAAAGCACACTGTATTCTACTTAGAAAATTAAATCTCCAAAGAAACAAACTTAAATGGCAAATTTCAGCAAACTATACACCCATGTTTTCTGTTCTTCTTTTCATGCCTTTACTGTACCTCTCCCTTCTCTGTATCATTCACTTCTCTCTTACCAATTGCCACCCCTCCCGTTTAACCATTAATCCACCCTAGCAAAGTGACCAAGGGCACTGTGCTCTACTTGAAAGCTTGCTGAAGCACTGTGTTTCTCTTCAGATGCAAACCTGATTGAGATCTTAGAGCCCTTCAAGTCAAGCCTGAGAAAGAACCTGAAGGGCTCCCACTCAGGAGTCAGTATGCACGCATGATGATGTCTCTAACAGAGAGAGCTCATGCATGATATTCTCTCAAAATGAGAAAAGAAAAAATGTGATAGAAAAGTTGCAAGCAAATTAGAATTACAGGTAAACATATTTGAGATGTGAATATTGACATTTTGAATTTATTTGTAAAGTAGGCTCCCATTACTGATAAAGGAGGTACCCAATGGGCATTTTTTAAAGTTTTATGTCTCGGATGGTTTGTAAGTAAATGAAATAAGCACTAACCTGAGCACTTTGTCTTATTTATAGCCACAAAGGGGCTCTCTACCAAACTCATTAGCATATTAAGTTAAATAAGCATTATGAATGTGGTAAAAATAGGTGATTCTCAATAAAGTTGCCTATTCTCCATTTTCTTCTTATAACAACACTCGCTGTATATAATTGGGCTAATATTAAGCATAATGAGAAGTCTACTTTTATAACAATAATAATTTATTGCTTGCTGTTTTCCAGGAAATATTTTAAGGGCTTTAATATTTTACTTTATTCAATGAGCAAAACACATAATTATTTAGGTATTATTATGTCCATGTTACCGATGAGAAAATTGGCTCAGGAAGTTTAAGTAAATTGCCCAACACCCTATAGCTAAGAAGAATTTTCTATCCCCATGTCTAACCAAGAATCCATGTTATTAATCATCAAGCTCCTCATTTATTTTTCTCAGATCCAGGCATTTTTTTCTTGCTGTTTGATGGTTTGTATGTTTTTATATTTTAGTGTCACAGAGTGGTTAATTTAACCCCAACTTTGATGATGAAACTAAGGTCAGTTGGATGAAGTTACTTATGCAATATACACAGCAAGACAGCTACAAAGCAGTTGATGGTACAAACTCCCTGTTTCCATGACAGTAATTTTTTTTATGTTAAAGATAACAAAAGTGGTGGGTGGCCTAGCCTCTTCTTTTATCCAGGAATCCACCCCAGCCATAAACATTACATTTTAAACCTAATGGCCTAAGCCCAAACATGATGCACAATCTAGTCATGGGTAGTGATATAATATCAGTGAGATGTAGCCGCAGCAAGGAAAATTCAAGGGGAAAAATTAAAACACACACACAGACACACACACACACACCCCTATTGCTCTAGGAAGATGTGTGAGAAATAATACATGCAAACATGGGGCTGAAGCTGTGCTTGGATAGAGAGGGAAGTATATGAAAATCTTTGCTAATGTCCTGTGTGACAGTTTAAATAAAGACCCATATAATCATTTTCCCTTCTCCTAACTTCTCTAGAAATACTGAAGACTCTTACATACTTAGACAAAATATTACAACTTTGCCAGACGAGCATTCCTTTTGGCCACAAAGAGATGATGATGAGCCTCAGTGTGAGGACTAAACATTAGTGTTCTGTAGATGAACACATTATTTTTTTTTAGAAGGTGGTTGTTTCCTTCTAGAAAGTGTCCTCTTTAGAACTTGGCAGGACTTCCCTTTTCCTTTGTTGGCTCAGTCTGTGCTATGCTATATATTGGTTTGGCAGCACATGTTGAATTTTACCTTATGACTTGGACAGAAAAGTTTAGCCTGGATATGTTGCATATTGGTATGATTTATAGAATGTAGACCAGATGAACTCAGAAAGCCCCCAAGGTGTGTAAATAATAGTAAACAGAGGGATTTGCAAATTATGGTCCAAAATTCTGCTGTGGTAAGCTATATATATTTTATTCTTTAAATAAAAAACAAACTATTGAAGTTTCAGGAGCAACATGGAAAGTTCCATATTTAAAAAATAAGATGGACAAAGCCCAAATATAAAAACCAGATTCTCTGATCCTGAGTCCAGGAAATGGATGCCTGTACATTTAGCTCCCTGGTATTTAATATGTGCTACCTTACTTAAAATGGTCTTCCAAAGGCGTTAAAATGTAGCATTGCTTCTTCTTGGTACAACTAACACATTCAATAATAATAAGGATAATAGTAATAAGTATATATAGCATGCCATGCTTTCTACATTATTCTCACATATGTTCTCTTATCTGATCCTTCCAAAAGCACTGTTAAATATAGTGACAGAAAAGAAAACAAAGGTGCAGATGAGGAAACAAAGGCATTCCCAGGAGAGTCATCAGAGGCCCTGTCACACAACTTCCAGTCTGACTTCTTTTCCCTGTCTCGCACTCTCACGAGCGTGTTGCTATTGAAATCTCTATCTTGTGCTTCTATAGAGCTAGAAAGCCTGGAAGACCTAGACAAAGATAAATGTAATCATTAGCCTCCAGTCTAGATTCTAATGTAGTTTTTCATACTTTTCACTTGAAACTGATGTAATATTGTGCCACGAAATGGAAAATCTAGCAAGTAGAAAATAGAGTTTGAATATTTTTTGGAAGAAATTTTCCACTGCAGAAAAAGAGAACAGCTATAGTTAGTTAATATAACAATACTTACCCACCTGGCTATTTATCTACATCCATCTAGTAGTAGACAACTACCTTTATATTTGAAATATATCGCTTCAAATCAACACTTGGCCACGATACCTAAAATTGCCCCCAAAGCACAATAGACTGCGGCTAAAGAAAGCAAAGCATAACAGAAAGAGAAGAGAAACAAAAAGACTCTTCTTTTATAATGAATTTACTTGTCCAGAGTTCTGAGCTCCTGCATGAAGCAGAAATTCCTCATTCATAAGAAATGGTAGACATCAGCTTGGGAGGTTGACTGATATTTCCTCCAATAAAGTTCGCTCACTATTCCGCTCTCTCTTTCTCTCTCTATCTATCTCTAACTCTCTCTTGTACATGCTTTTGCAGAATTTCAGGAACAGCTTTTTATCTGGAGAAAATGGCTGCCTGAAAGAGTTACAGAATATAATAAAAGCTTTACCCCAAAGCTTCTATGCATTCCAAAAGCTTGCACTCGGATAATAGAAACATTTAGCCTCAGGTGACTGAGAACACTTACTGTTGGTTGCATAACGTATGGCGGATGAGGCATCCATGAAGTGCTCTGGACCTATGCATCAAACAGCATTTATTAGCACAAGGCAATCACAGAGAGAACTTGGTTCTTGCGTTCAGTGGAGTCACACTAGGTCATAAGAAAGTGGAGTCCATCTGACTTTACAGCTAATTAGTGCTCAAAATGAAGGATAAAAGGGAATTCTTAAACTTGATTAATTTGGTCCCTGAAACATGGTAAAAGGTAAAGCAACTTCTCATTTCACTGGAGCTGGCTTCAGTGCTCACATGGATCAAGCTAAGTCTTGGAACATATTTTGAGGTTGATGTTGAAGACTAAAGTCTTAGAAGGCCTCAGAGACCATTTGGAGGTCAACTCTCAGGGGATTCCCTGGAAAGTAATGAAGGAAGCAAGAGTTGACTGCTAAGATTTCCTCTTTTTCTGTCACCAGTTATAACTTCAAATGCTCAAGTGATCTCATCTTAGAAATATGTCCAAGTGGTAAAAGTTATGGTAAGAACTAAAAAGATAAACCAGAAATTTAGGAGAGTGATTTGGGTTAAACCCAAGTTAAGCATGTTTGCAATTTTTTTTCCTCTCTTTGTAATTGGTACGACAAATACAAATGAGTATTTGAGCCAGCCAACTGTTCTTATATGTACCATGTGTCAGCCAAATGAGAAAGTCAGCCTGTACAAGCTGAATGTCACATAGAGAACCCCGAAGATTCTGTTTTTCAATATCCTCACATCAACAAAATTTCAATACACTTTGGATTAAAAAAATAGTGGTGAAAAGAGAGACTCAACAACATAGGAAATTGCTCTAATCCCTTTTTGAGAAAAGGGAGCTGGAGTTAAATTCCACTTATGAGCCCTCCCAAGTAAAGTCACTTTTCTGTGGATATTTTATTCATGTCACCAAAGTGCTCTACACTGTGGCTCAATGGGTGGTCTTGGCTCAAACAGAGGCCAAGATTAGGAAAAAAAAAAAAAAAAAGGAAACGCACGCACACTACAACCAGACAGGCCTGTGGGAAGTACAAAAACTGGACAACACCTGCACGTATCCTTGGGTGTCCCAAGGAAAGGCGATTAAGAAATCAGCCATTCTGAGACCCTCTAATGCAATTCAAACAAAAGTCTATTCCATTCACCCACGGATATGTTTCAAGAGTCTGAGTGCAGAAAAAGAATGAAAATGATCTGCTTCAGGGAAATCAGTTAAGGAAAAATGCGTACAGTCTCAAGTTTGATTCTCTGACAGCTGGGACATCCTGAAATGTAGTAGCAGAATAAGGTGAAACTTCACTGAATTAGTAGCAGTCAGCATTACAGTTTTACTCATTGTAAAACATCCATCCCAACGATCTGCAAAATATAGAGAAGCACATGCATGCACACGCTTTCACTCTCTCTTTCTCTCTCCAAACTTTTTAAAAAAGTGACACTAGACTCTTTCTACGTGCAGCATTTATAGGCACTTTCTAATTAGAATTGAAAGAATTGTTTAAAGAACAATATTAGGTAGAGAACACCAGGGAGTAATATCAAGTATCTGATAACTCAAAGGAATAAAATTAGAAATATTTTTTTAGGAAGAAGTGTGACTATTTCAATCCACCTGTGTACTTGGAACTAACTGGTTACAACATCTGGTTTAAGACACACATGGAGGCTCAGATTTTCCAGCATCTCGACATGCGGAACCCCTGAGGTCTCTTTTGCTTCTCTGGAACTGAGAATGAAGTAAGAACAGGGAGTAGAAACAACTTTTCACCACTTTGGTAATCTTCTCTATTTCTTGGGAAGTATGATTTAACATCTGTCTGTGTAGCTTTACCAGGACAATCATGACAAAATGAGATGACAATGATGAACCATCCTGGTGTGAGGAAAGGAATTGCTAGAAATGTGCTTTCAGAAAGGACACAATAAGGAATGTGAACAACCAAAATAACATACAACAAAAAATAATTTCCCAGTGGTAAGAGCTGTATTAATGTTGGTTGGAAAGTAGCGTAATCATGAAAACTCAGCGGGAAGAATGAAAAGCATAGTGGATCTTATTATTCAGTGAATTGATGCAAACAGGCCTTTGAAAGTACAGGCTGATTGATAACTTCAGCATTATTACATTAAGATGTGACTCAAGCATATGAGGACAATTTTTCTTTTAATTCTACTGTGTCCTTTTTGCCTCTAAATAGTGTATTGCTGGCAAGGAAAGATCTCTCCTAAGGTGCAGGTAAATTGGACATACCTGGTATGTGGAGACAGGGGAAGCAGCAATGAATGGCGTGATAGATGTCTGTGGAATCATGCGGTTGGTTGCAATACTGTACGGTGAAGAATAAAATCTGCAAACAGAAAACAAAAAAAAGAAGATTCATGAAGCTGCTGCATGCCTGGCCGCTAACCAAATGCTATCAAGCACCTCTGGGAAAGACAGGTTTCTACCTGCATGTTTTTCCACCAACTGTTAACAGGAGCATTCGGGAGATTTACAGTATCTGATTCCACTAAAAGAAATAAATTGTTCTGAACAAAATGACAATGTCGAGTCATCTTATAAAATTAGCAACACAAAATCTCTCTCTTATGCCAAGTGAATGAGTCTTTAACCAACAGAAGAAGAAAAGCCAAAGGCATTATTAAAAAAAAAAAGAAAAGGCAATGTCATTTGAAAGCTCTTTGAAAGAAAGGCAAAATGAAAACACCAAGCTGTATAAAGGTGGATGATGTTACACACACATGAATTGCATCCACTCATTCAAGAAATAAGGATCAGTTTCTAGAAAGTTCTGGATATTTTATGCTAGGCATGGGCCCATGCTCTCATGCAGAAAATACTTTCTCCATGAAAAGAGAAGAAAGAGGACAATTTTTGTTTAGGTTGGAATAGGAATGTTTTCTTGAATTAATCAAGGCACTGGTAGAGATATTAAATCTATATAATATATTCCTGTAGACTTTGTGAAAAGCACTGAATTTTCTAGTTGCCCAGAGCCCTTAATTGAACAGTTACAGAATGATATCAGGCGGGATTGGGAATTTACAAAACAGAAGAGGGATGGATGATCCTTCTGGAGATCTGTTAAAGGGTAGGTTCTGGATATGAAAATAGTGGTATGCCCATCTCTGCTCAGACTATGCTGTAGAGTCCATAAGTTACTTAATATTCAAATTCTTCAGCTGAATTTTAAACCATGTATTCTGCTTCATGTCTCGCTGATAAGTGAAAGGCTAGAGTGGTCAGGCATAGAATTGATGAAATTGATCTCAGATTGCCTGAGATGAAATATATAAGAGATATGAAGATAAATTGCAAAAATGCCTATCAGGAATAATGGTATCATTATTTTACTTTTCCATACTTTTAGTAAAACTTAATTACTCTGTTTATTTTTTTAATAGTATGACTGAAGTTAGAATTTGGGGGACAAAGTCTTCATCAAGCCTCGCGGGTCACTGATATTTTGAGTAGAAAATTTCATGGATTACTTTTCTAAGAAAGCCTTCCATAAGACTCTCACTGATTGTAGAAGAGCTAGAATTTAAGGTTTGCAGGATTCAAAGAGTAAATTATTCAATTTTAGGTTACTATAAATCTTTAAGCAGGGATTACGGAATTATAGTACTAAATTTACTTTATATCTTAACAAGGATTTTATAAGGGCATACACTTTGGATTAAAAAAATATATAGATGAAAAAATTACCCCACTGTACAGTACACCCTTATTATCCATACACACTGGACCCCTAAGTTTATAGTTGTGAAGTTTAAGAAAAAGACATAGACTACGTATCTATTAGAATTGCAAAGAAAAAGATGATACTAAGTTAAAAAAAAAAAAAGCAATACTAAGTGCTGACAAGGATGCAGAAAAAGTAGAACTCTCACACATTGCTGGGGGGAAAGCAAAACAGTATGTCATTTTGGAAAATAGCTTGGCAGTTTCTTATAAAGTTAGACATACATATACCATATGACCCAGCAATCCCACTCCTTGGTACTAACTAAAGATAAATAAGAACTTTTGCTACGCAAAAACCTTAATGCAAATGTTTATAGCAGCTTTATCCGTACTTGCTCCAAGCTGGAAACAACCCAAATATCCTTTAACTGAATCCATAAACAAACTGTGGTACATCCACACAATGGAACACTACTTAGCAATAAAAAGGAAATAACTACTGATACGTTCAACATGATGAATCTCAAGTAAATTATGCTAAATGAAAGAAATCTGACTCAGAAGGCTATACACTATATAATTTCATTGTACTGCAATATGGAAAAGGCAAAACTATAGCAGGATAGGGGAAAGGGCTGATTCCAAAGGGCATGAGGAAATTTGGTAAGGGGCTGTGGATATTCTATATCTTGATTTTTGTGCCAGTTGCATGCCTGTGTCTGTTCTTCAGAATCATAGAACTGTACCCTAAAAAGAGTGAATATACTCTATGTACATTATACCTAATAAATGTGACTTTAAGAAAAAAAGACAATTACTATGTAAGAAAGCTTTCATCCTTCCACTTAAAAAAATTATTGAGCATTTACTATGCATAGAATGAAGACTCTAAAACATCCTATAGAATTTCTCTATTTATTCACTTGAATTATAGCTTATTCTTACACTAATCAGCCTAAAACCTTCCAAAGGCTTTCTATTGCAATGAAAACAAAATTTGAACTCGTTGTACTGGCCAGTGCAATAAGGCGACTTTTACCTCTCTGATATGTGTTTTTCCTACCCCTCTCCCCATAGTCAACCAGGATGCAACCGCACTTAGGATGCAACCACTCTTTTCTGTGCCATGATCTCATCATTCTCACTCCCATCTGTTCACTGAACTTGCAATTCTCTCTACCTAGAATGTTCACTTCTCCAAATTGTCATACGGCTGCCTCTTTTTCATTTTTGGTCTCTCTCAAATGTCCCAGCTTCAGGGAGGCCAGTGTCTCAATTACCAACTGCCATCTCTGCCCCAATTGCTCTTAAACCCTGTATCCTAATTTATTTTTTTATTGCTCTTATCACTATCTGAAGTAGTAATTTAAAAAATTCTCTATGTATTCTATGGAATGTATGTTTGTGTCCCCCAAAATTCATATGTTGAAGCCCTAACCCCTACTCCTAGCGTGGTTGTATTTGGCGATGGGGCCTCTAAGGAAGTAATTAAGGTTGAGTGAGATCATAAGGACAGGAAATTGATGGGATAGAATTAGTGTCCTTAAAAAAAGAGACACCAGAAAACTCTAGTTCTGGCTCCCCACACATACACACACTGAGGAAAGGCCCTATGAAGGCAAAGCAAGACTGCAGCCACCTGCAAACCAGGAAGACAGCTCTCACCAAAATTGGGTAAAACCTTCACCTTGAAGTTCTAGTGTTCAGAATTGTGAGGAGATAAATTTCTGTTATTTAAGCCACTAAGTCAGTGGGACTTTGTTATAGCATCCCGAACTGACAAACACAATGTATGTATTGACTATTTCTCATTCTAGGTCAGCCCCAAGAGGGTTGAGTATGTATCAGCCTTGTTGCCTAGAACAGAGCCTATAACTATACGCCGAATGAATGAATAAATGCAAAACAGCTTAGGAAATCCAGTGGTGATGATAGTACAGGATGGTCAGTGCCAAGATGATGGGAGAACGGAGGGGTCCCTGAAATGGGTAGGAAATCAAGAGACAAGAGCCCTGAGATGGACCAACATCACATATTTGTGAATGCTCAATGGAAGCTTAACTAATACCTGCTTTCTGAGCATGCAAGGACATTAGTAACTACGGAACACAGTCCTTTCCTATGAAAATAATGGTCAGCGTTTAAAAATTCCCTTTAGGTCTTATCTTTGACAGACATTATTTATGAGGCAGTGAACAGAAAAACTTATTTGGAGCTCATAATGACATCAGAGGCACCCAAGACCACTCAACAAACAGTCCTTCTTAGACATTATGCAGTGATTTAACTTCTGGTAGAAACCCAAATTCAGCCTCTTATACAGACAGAGCAAATTGTACATCACATTTTAGTGTGGCTGATCTGTTTTGTAAAATGTACCAATTGGAGTATTAAAAATGAAAGCAATAAAGATTGGATTGACAGGCAGAGTTTACAGGAAATTCTATGGGGAAAACAGAGAGCAGAAGCATAAAGAAACCAGCCAAGTAAACTGATACTAGCAAAGAGAACTCTTGGGGGAAAATTTAATGCAGTTTTGGTCTATCTGCTCTAATCCTATCCATCAAACAAGAATTATATTTCATACTTGCCAACAAGTTCCAATACTGCCACTCAAGTCAGAGTCATTTAGAACAAAAAATGCAGTGGGAAGAATGGACTCAGAGCACTGTCTTGATCCCCTAATTCTGGTATTCCGAAATAAGCTCTTCTCAAGTCCAAACATAAACCAGATGAATTTACTGGAAAGCCTTGCTTAAACCATGACAAGAGAGGCTACTATTGCATCTGAGGCTTACAGGTACCATACCTAAAGAAAATACACAGGGCCATACTCCAAAGAACGGCAGAATGTGTTTCCCAATCTTGTAGCTTTTTCTCAGTTCCTGCCATGTGTCCTTCATGGGTTTGAAAACACTTCCGCACAATTTTCATGTTAAAAAAAAATTAGAACATCCAAATAAATACTTCAAACAGAAGTGTCATGTTATTGTGGAACAGAAAAGAGAAAATTGATGGAACTTTTTAGCCATAACAACAAAATAAGGTAATTCTAAACATGTGTTTATATTTGGTAACATACATATTATGCCTTGCAAATGTTGTAACAGAAATGGGGAATGAATTGATTAATAAACTATTTTCCTGGAAATAGTTTTACTCTCTTAAGAGTTATTTCTTTGCCAAGATTCACATAGCATTATGTGTATACCAAGTGCCCTTTTTATCCTTAGCCCTTAGCTCAGTGGTTCTAAGCCACAGGTGATTTTGCCCTCCACCCCTCAGCAGAGATTTGGCAATGTCTGGGGACATTTTTTTTGTTTTTTTTTGCAGGGAAAAAGGAATCTCGCTATATTGCCCAAGCTGGTCTCAAACTCCTGGCCTCAAGTGATCCTCCTGCCTTGACCTCCCAAAGTGCTAGCATTACAGGCATGAGACACTTGTCCAACCTGGCGACATTTGTAGTTGTCACAACTGTGGGAGGAGGGGGACTACTGTCATCTAGTGGGTAAATGTCTGGGACACTGCTAGACGTGCTACAATGCATAGCACAATTCCCACAACAAAAATTCTCTGGGCCTAAAATGTTAATAATGTTGAGATTGAGAAACCTTGCCTTAAGCATATGAGCTAGTTACCTCTGCAAAAGTTTCTTTCACA